GCAGTGGCACGGGCACTCCGCCCCCTTGCAGGTAACGGAGTCTGGTCCGCAACTCCGAGATGGTCATACCCCCGCAATGGGAGCATGAATCATCCACGAAAGCCGCCTCAGCGTGCGTCATGCCCAGGCACGAGAGGCAACGATCGTGACCATCACCCGGCACCAGGTAACGACCACACCCAGAAACACACGGGTGGTAAGACATCTTTAAAAAGACGTGTTTTCAAAAAGACGTTCCACCCGTGAAGCTCTTTTAGTATGGAAATTGCTCTTTTAGTGTGCTGAAGCGCACAGGGGAGATGGCCGTCTGCAACACACACAGGGGTAGTGCAGCCTGCTGTGTGCAACCCACTTGATACGGGAAAACCACCGCTGCTGAAGCATCCGACGTGACGTCAAGAGTGACCGACTGAAAGGGAACTACTTTGTTTGGTCTTCCAAAAGAGGACGATATCCGCTTCGTCATGCCTAGAGCTGATCTGTGCTTAGTGCTGTGGATCGCCGGATCGGCTTTCACCGTGGACGAAGCGGAGTCCAGCCCGGGGTTGTCACATGTGGTTGCCGCTCCTTCGTGAAATCCACCAGCCGCGCCATTCTCAAGCCCGCCACCTCTGCTCACTCAAGCCTGGCCTCAGCTCTCTCAAGCCCGGCCTCAGCTCACGCTTGCGAAACTACTTTGTTTGGTCTTCCAAAAGAGGACACGACTACAAATCAGTGGTTAAGTTGTACATTTTAATGAAGTCTCCCTTCTGAAAAAAACAATAAAAAATAAAGCTGTACACCTTATGTATATCTACTGTATATCACACTTTAACATTTTAATTAATGTTTTAAAATGTTTTTAAATGAAAAAACTCTTTTTCTTTTTGGTAAAGTTAAAACATGGACAAACATGATATTCCTTGAAAACAATGTTTAAATAAATTATTTTATTATAAAGAATATTATTATTGTTGTTATTATAACTTTGAAGTACATTGTACAATGCTAATATATTTCTGTCATAATTTCAAATTAAATGGAATGTTTATTTTGACGGGTTGTAGCGGACCTTTGAGTTTCAGAGTGTATTTGACAATGGTTTTTCTCAAATAAAACTAGGAAATGTTTATTTACCTTTTCTCTCAGAGCAGCTCTGCTGATGTTCATGTTTATGTACAGTATCTTAGACGCTGAAAACATCATTTATGTATGCGTACTTCAGTATGCAGTAGATAAAACGGCACCACTCAGAGACATGCAGAAACAAGCAGATTATTCATATAGCAGTCTCTTTGCGCTTTAATATTCACAGACACATATCATAACTACTTTCGATTTATCCATCCATCCGATTACGCGTTTTACGTGACATCCTCGTTACACTGTAAATTCCATGTTCACGACTGCAACGGGATTCCCTCTGCTTCACGGAAATCATACGGCCTTAAAGTCGGCATGAAACGGAAGTTGCGATTGTCTTTTGTTCTCTACTGTGACGTATATCCGAGTGAAACGGCATCTGAAATGAGAGGGCTGGACTTGATTTTGTCCTTCGGGAATTGATTGGATCGTTGGAAGCTGGGGCGTTGCTAACAAAATGAAGGCAGATCTGAATGCCAGTTTGCAGTTAGTGGTGGGGGATTTCTCTCCACTGGATTCACAGCCGACACCCAAGCATGAATACATTTTTTATTTATTAAGGATGACGACGGCGATCAACGGCACAAAACATGCCTAAACAGCGCGCGTGTGCGAGAGAGAGAGTGAGACTGCCTGAATGACTGAGCGCATCCTCCTCCCTAACCCTAACCCCCCTAACCCTAATATATTTTCAATGTTTAGGGGTAATGTACTCCCTCATGACTGGTGTAAGTGCTATAAAGTGAAGAAGCATCAGCTTCAGCTTTTCCCCCTGTCGTTTATCCCAGAGCTTACCCCTCAGTCACTAGCTCCGCCCTTGCACCATAGCTCGTGACCGGAAGAGAAGATGAGTCGTTTTGAGGGGGAGGGGAGGTTAAAGTTTTTGATTAAAGATTACGAGGGCACATGAATTAAAAAAAAATAATGAAGTGCACGGATAAATTATTTATAATAAACACTACAGTTTTCCATTAAAAAATACGAATTTTCTATTTTGATTTCATGGTGACTTTAACTTGTAACTTGTTATTAATGCGACACACCTTCATCTGCACAGAGGGATGGTGTCCTCGAATATGAGCGAAGATGTTGGATGTATTGCCTGCTTTTTGCAGCCACTTTGCATCCACATTTTTTGCAAATTGGATCTTTCCTCAAGGACAACCCCGCGTTCATTTTTAAAAAAATCTGAAGTATTCCCATACTGCAGATATTAACCTTTTTTCGGCGGGGATGGAGATGTCTCTGTCATTTTCTCCGTTGCACGTGCGTGTAAGCAGCCGAGTGAATGCAGAGTGAAGCAGCCGAGCGGAAATATGTTGCATGTGTGTGGGTGAGATTTTTTTTCATTCTTTTTTTTTTAAAACCGTAGATATGCAAATGTTTTCGGTATGATAACCGTGCACGTTCAAACCATGATAAACCGTCATACCGGTATATCGTTACAACCCTAGTTGAATTAAGTATTTTTTGTTTTCCTCATTGTCAAACAGATTGATGCTGCTTTTCTTCTTGTCCCCCTCACAGGACGTGTGTAAGTCACTGTCCGCTGGGTTATTTTGAGGACGGAGAGGCCCGCAGATGTCGCCGCTGTCACCGAGGCTGTGAGAAGTGTGTGGCTCGTGGGCCGAACGAGTGCCGCTCCTGCCGGAGAGGGCTTTACTTCTACTCGAAGGAGAGCACCTGTGTGGAGACCTGTCCCGCCGGCTGCTTCCATGACGACGGTGAGTCTGACCAAGATGGGACGTCCACTGATACATTTCACTTATGAGTTTGAGCTGAAGTTTCTATACAACCATATAGAACCGTATGTATCTAGTAAATACTAAACCGAGGTCTGTCACTTTTAATAATAATTTTAAAGAAACGCAGTATATCGTCCATTTATTTACTTCTATTACTTATATTTATTTCGATCATTATTTCTATTTATTTCTATTTAATTATTATTTTATTCGTTTAAGGTGCCAAAGCAACTTATAAATGATGAACGTCATAAGCGATTTATCACCAAAGAGCCAACAGTACTTGCAGTACTGCAAAGTTTTATGATTAATTTCAGGCAAATGAACCAGTTAATTAAAATAAATTAATAAATTATGGATTTTGCTATCCGTTTACTACTAAGCTAATGATGTGGTACTCTGATAAGCATAAAAACACATAAACATTGTACTGTGTAAATGTTAAAGTAGTCATTTATGTTATTAAAATTTACATTATATATACATATACATATATAATTCATAATCTAATTTATCACAAAATAAATTTGGCTGTGAAAATAACCACAAAAGATTATTTAAAGCTATTTTTGTGTTAAATTAGAAAGTATCACGTAGACATTACAAATTGTAGCTTTAGAAAGAAATGTTTTATTTGATTCAACATAAAATGTATTACTCATAAACATTTAGGCTACAACGGCCTAACGTAAACTATGGAACATAAAAGAAGATAATTTAATAAAGCATCTCAGTATTTTTTGTTCATACAATGAAAGTCATTGGTAACCAAAACTTTGTTACCAACAGTCTTCAAAATACCTTCTTTTATGTTCCACAAAAGAAAGGTTTGAAACATCATGAGGGTCAGTAAATGATGACAGAATTTAAATTTAATGTTTTATTTTTTATTTTATTTTTTTTGTATGAAATGATACTCTAAATAAGAAACTAAATCTACCAGCAGGTGGCGGAAAGTGTCTTTATGAGTCATTCATTCATTCGATTCGTTCAAACGGCTGATTCATTCAGGAATTAAGTAAACGGCTCTCTATGAATGAGCCTTTGAATCATTGATTCACATGATTCGTTCAAAACGTGGATTCATTCAGAAACTAATCACCGCTGTGTTGCTCACAGAAGCACAACAGTTCTGCTATGACTTTAAAGCTAATATATTCTCTGCAAAATTGAGCAAAAACGCATTGTGTTTAAAATATAACACAATATCAACTTCTTATTTACTGAACTGTTGTATAAAATCACATTTAAACTCGTAATATTCGGGACAAAATCACCACTCGTGTAATACTGCTCTTTTTGCTCGTGTGATATCCATTATCGTATGATATAAATTTGAGACAAAGACTCATACAGGGGCATTTTTTGCCTCAATATCTTTTATTTTAGGGCATAACTGCACTTATGGGCATCATATTTGTCAATAGTGAACTATATGAAATGTAAGATGACGTACAGGTCTGGGGGTGGGGCCAGTGCGTTAACTGGGTAAAAATATTTTAATCATGTTATTTTTTACATATATACATAGAGCGAGAGATAATTTAATAAAGTATTAATAAAATATTCACATAAAATATTTATTTACATACATGTTCCAAACCCACATTATTTCGTTTATATATATATATATATATATATATATATATATATATATATATATTATATATATATAT